ATGTAAGAATACTTGACAACGAAAGATAGGACAAATAATAGCAACTTCAACTGAATGCCTATAAGTGACCTAAGAGTCTAAACTGGTCAATTGTTCACATATAAACTCGTGTACACACCCGTCACCTCGTATACACGTCTTTAACATAATTCAAATAGTATAATTAAACTCAAATCCTAATAGGCAGTTCCCCCACTCAAAGTTAGACAAGATACTGACCTCAAACAAGCTAAATCAATCTACTAATAAGCCCTTCCCGCACAAATTCACTTCCGTACGGCTCGAATCTAGCCAAAATAACTTAATATCATAAATAAAAGCCATAGAAAATAATTTGGGATAATAAATATTCGATCTTTAACTAAAATCAAAAAGTCAACCCTGCTCCGCACCTTGAATCGCGATAAAACTCACAAATTCCGAACACACATACCGATACGAGTCCAACCATTCCAAAATCATTCAATTTCGACCTCAAATCGGCCTTCAAACAATCAATTTATATTTTTAAAAAGTTTTTACTAAAATCCCCAATTTCTCTAATTCAAATTATTAATCAAACACTAAAATCGATGTTGGAATTATCAAATAATTAAAAATTCGAGTCAAAATATTACCCCTATCCAAGTAGTAAAAATTCCCTCCAAAATCGCTCAAAATTGAGCTTCAAAACCTTGTGAGAAAAAGTAAATAAATTCCATAACAAGAAAAAAAAAATATAGCAGTTGTCTCAGCTCGAATCAGGTCCTAGATGATCCCGAAACTCACGTTTGATAAGCCCAACATGATCCTTACGAGATCACACCCAGGATAGCCTCTTGAATCGCCCAATTTGGCCTTAAAATTAGGGAGATATAATATTTTGAATTCTTAAAAGAAATCTAAAAATTTCAGGAACACAAATGGCATTTTCGTAATTACTTACACTAGGAAAAAAACCAGCAATAAGAAAATCTTCGTTTTAGCACCCAAAACTCATTCGGAACCTCTGGAACACAAACTATATATGCATTTCAATTATAAAATATGCTACAATCTTGCTCTCGCACTCAAAACACCGAAAAGATGTCATCTTGACCTAATATTGACCATGGTCAAGCTTCAAATTCATAACTTAACTAGGTTTTCAACCAATGATCTAAATTATACCCGAGCCCCTCGAGACCCCATCTTATCTTACCAAAAAGTACAAATACATCATCCAAACTTATCTAAAGCCTCAAAATACCCACGGGAACATCACAACAAGGAATGGAGGCTCAAACCAAATAGAATTTCTCTTAAGTTGTTAAAATCTTCATTCTTTCAAAAGAGTGTCTGAATTACACTTAAACACTTTGGATTACTTTCAAAATTTTGTATACAAGTTAAATTCAACTATATAGACATATCCAAAGTCTTGGAACACCAATTGGAGTCCAATAACATTAAAGTCAACTCTTGTTCAGACTTATGAACTCTTAAGTTAGCCAACTTTCGATAAATAGTGTTGATTTCTTCTAAGAACCTCCGAAACCAAATCCAAACATACGTACGAGTCCAAAATCATCATACGAACCTATCAGAATAATCAAAACCCGATTCCGACTCCATTTACCCAAAAGTCAAACTTGGTCGACTCTTCCAACTTAAAGCTTTTAAAACAAGGATCATTCTTCCAAATCAATCTCGAACCGCTCGAAAATCGAAACCAACCATAGAAGCAAGTCATAATACATAATATGTACAAATTCATACCACCGAATAGAATGCTAAAGCTCAAAACGGCCGGTCAGTTCGTTACATTGTGAACCCTTGCTTTGATCAGCCGGCTAGATGTTCTTTCCAGTCATTCTAAGTTACAAAACGGAAAGGAAATTCACAATTAAGTGAGAGGCGAGCCCTGTAATAAGAAAATCAACCAAAACTTTGAGTTAAACGCTCAATTTCTCGGGGCCAGGGTGGGCGCCAAACTGTTTAACCCAAAAATAATATCAATAATAAATAATTAAATTTATTTTTAAGGAGGTCACTAGCAATCGGTTCGAATCAAAGCTTAGTCGAATGTATAGTAGAAATAGGCTAAAAATCTGTAAATGAAGTAATGAAATAAATAAGCAAAAGTAACAATCATCTTATTGAGCTTCATTATGAGCCACAATGCTTACAAAGTAAAGAGAGCTTGATTGCTTAGTTTGACCGAAATACAACAACTCTGAATGACGAGTGAGTTGAGAGAAAACTCAATGGAATACGAGTATAGAGGAGTGAGGGTATATATAGCCTAAGTTTAACGTTCACATGCTCATCCCACATTCGCTTATTGCTCTAAGTGGTTAACAACTACCGAGATACTCGTTGGTTGTTGGAGGAGTATCTGGCGTGGTGGATATAAGTGGATCCCTAATATTTTGGGGGACAGTTGAGGACCATGTCAAATCTCGGGCTATTACTTTATTGATGAATCTCCGGAACCATCTTTCGGGTACTTCACCGGGACACATCCCTCATCTTCCCGGGGAGGAGTTATCGGTTCATATACACTTCATGCGAGATCAAAGTTCCGCTAATATTTTGTAGCAGAGATAAAACCTATTTTAAGCAATATCGTGTCATCATGTGATGTGTCCGCGTGTCAGAGCCGAATTTTACCAATACAGTTCTTTCCACTACCTTAAAGAAACATGCCCTGCCATTGTTAGCTTATAGACATTGTAAATCGAAATAGATGTGAGTAATAGGCTCTTCTTCCCAAGATGCAAAGCTGTAAACTTTGTTTACATAATCATACAAAAGAAAAAAGATATTCAACTGCCATGAAAGTCCTTTTGAATTTGATATGGCCTCATTTTACTCGTATGGATAAATATAAAAATAAGAAAACAAATTGCTATAGTTCTTTGTCACTTGCCTATATTGTACTACTACAGTTCTGACCAAGAAATAAGCAGGGAACAATATGCAACTTCGAGAAAAGCATAATATTTTTGACATATCACGCAGTTGGAACTGACGCTCATGGTGGGCACAAACAGTACAAGCAGCCACAGGATCCACAATCATTCAACCAAATATTTTTTATTTTTATTTTTCATCTTGTATTCCGTATCCGCTTTAAGAAGTAAAAATTGTTCTCACTGTTCTGTTCTTTATGCTCTATAGGTATTTGATATATTGAGTTTCTCCATCAAAAAGTTATTTTTACTCTATCCTCTAGTAACTGTAACGACGCACATAATGGATAATGTGTGATTTCAAAAAATAGTTTAGGATCTATACCTTTTAAAGTAGAAGAAAGAAAAATAAATCGAACCATCGATCCCAGGTGGCTTTCCAAAGAACTAACAGTAGCTGATTTCTTTGTGGCTACTACTTGTTGGACTTTAAGCCATTCGGCTTTAAAGTAGAAGAAGTGTGAATTGGAAATGGAGGGAAATAAAATGGAGGGAAATTGAAAATTTGAAGAAGTGAACTTTTGTCTTGCACTTTGTCCCTCATTGGTGAGAGACAACCACATTTGTGTGCTTATATATAGAATCACTTCTTAAAGCTCATAAAAAGAGTTGAAGAGAATGAACCCTCGCGCCGTCGTCGTCGCTCGGCTTCGGCTTCGGATTTGTCAAATGATCGATAAGATTATTTTTGGACAAAATTTATTTAATTATTTAATAAATTAATTAAATGCCAAATCACTGCTGAAAATATGCCAGAACCTGCTGCTGAAGGTTCAGAAAGTCCTTCTTACCGCGGTTCTGCCGCGACCGCGGCAGGAAGGTTCAGAAGGCTCTTCTGACCGCGGTTCTGCCGCGACCTTTTCTGAAAAGGTTCCATTTCCAGACACCTCTTCTAATAATTGCCTATAAATTCTGAGGCAAGGTTCCATTTTCAAAACACGAAAAATACTCCAGAACTTCTTTCTTTCTGAATATACTGCATTCTAATTCGCAGTCTCTCTCTCTCAAATTCGTAAGTGTGATTTTGCTCCGTTCTTTAAGTTCGTTGGTATCCTGCAGTTTGTATTGCCACTGTTGCAGGAAAGTTTATTCCGTTTTATCCTGGAAGAATTTAATCTATTACCTTGGCAACGTGTGAGGGGGTTAAAATTCCTTAAGGACACACAAGCAAATTGTGGACTCGGAATATTTCTTGAACTCCACTATTTTTCAGATTTCATTAATTCTTCTAACAGTTTTGTTTTCCTGATTTTGTGTTTTAACACAGTATCGCTCACACTACTGACATAATTTTCCAGGTGTGAAGAAAGATATTGAATCAGAAGCAGACATACTTGCACCGCTGGGCACTAGCAAAATTGGATTGTATGTAAATTTGCCAACTCTTTTGCCTAGAAAGAGTAAATTCTTTCATCTATGCTCTCGAAAGAAAGATTGGCTTATCTTTTGTGCTGTGCATTGTATTTGTCTAGTTGACGAGAACTAAGTTATAAACACTCGTTCTTAGCTTCTTACATCTTATTATCGTGTTCTCTATTTAAGTAAAGCTGAATAAACTATGGCCCTACCGATTTAAACTCTGATTTAGTTAGTTACCGAACTCATTATTCAGCTTAAACTGCAACTAGTTTCCACTGCCAAGATTTGACATTACCAAGGCTGAGGATAAAACCAAAGTCTGCCTAGATTGTTACGTTCCCTTTGGTGTATTGCTAAAATCTCCACAAAATCACAATCGGAGTATTATGACAAACGTCTGAAACGCCTTTAGCCGCCTCCACAAGAAGTAAAGAAGCTAACAGTATTTATACACCTTAACATTTCGGGATCTCGTTGTCTTTTTTTAACTTTTCCAGTTTCCTCAAAAGAACCAAAACCAAAACGGACAGCTGAAACTTTTTAAAAACTCAAACCAAAAATGATAAAAAGAATCCCAAAAAAAAAAAATTGACAATATTGGCTCAGTGAGCTTTTCCAGTTAAGTCCAAATAATGAATACCCCATCCCGCTGTAACTTTTGGACTGCTGCAAAAATATTTTCAGTATAAGTTGATTGCTGCTGCATTGGAAATGAAACAATAACTTAACATGCAGATAAGTTTCCCAGCACAAACGGCAATGGAAAAGCGCACATGATGAGTTAAAATTTCAAGACATTTAACTATACAAAGCAACTGTATGCCTCAAGTACTTCTAGGTTTTAGATGACTATGCATATCAGAATGCTAAATGCCACATGCTGGATTTCATCATAATCTGAATCGCAAATTCTTCAATCACAGCAAACTAATAGAATCTGTGAAATCAAGTAGCAAGTGAACTTGCCGAATAGAAGACTAAGTTACAAAAAGGTAAAGTCAGGTTCTTGCTTCATGCAACGAATAATACAGCAAAAAATTGAAAATCACCTGCAAGTCAAAATGTAAAGACAGGTTAGGTCACAAAGCATTAAAAACAAATTCTATCACAGATCAAACCGGTATCTATTAAATGTCTCAACTGATATTCTTATTAATAATGCCACCCACAAAACCTTAACCAAATCGTCAAGTTTCAGAGCATAAAGTGAGCTCAGAATGGGCATTTCCGGCCAGTTTGTAGAAGTTTAAGACTCGGCAAAGGCACCAGCCGAGTTCAAAACAATATTTATGTTATGAAGAGTATGGAAAAAATTAAATGTTTTCCTTAGATTTACAAGGCTCTTCCAAGTGGCTCCAGCAACCTACCTGATAATAGGTGAATTTAACTATAATAACGTCTTAAATAACCACCTTCTCGTATAGTTTTGATGATAAAAGTGATAACAAAATGCTCTTATTAGTGCTTTTCATGATTTGCAGGTGATATATGACTAGGGAAGGCTAGGGAGTACTTTTGGAGCCAAAAATGAAGAAAAAGAGGCCAACTGTGAAATTCCCCAAGTAAACCACGCAAAACAGGCCTGAAGATTCAGAGAACTGTGTTGACCGCGCTTCCACCGCGACCGCGGTAGAACCGCGGTGGTAGAGAGCTGCAGATAAAATGAGATTCAGAGAAGGCATTTGGCCGCGGTTTGACCGCGACTGCGGCAGAATCGCGGCGGAAGCAAAAAACTTCAGTGACTAAAGTGTAAAACATGGGATTTTTAGACCTAAACCCTAGTTTAAATACGAGACCTCGCCCAAGAGAGGCATGTATTGAATTTTAGAGTATCTTGGCAAGAAAAACTATTGTGAGAGAATACCCAAAAACATAGTTCTTCTTTTCTTTGATTTTTATTGCTAGTTATGATGAATTCTATCTTAGTTTGTTTTCCCATAGCCATGAGTAGCTAAATCCTTTGTCTAAGGCTTTGATGGAACCTATCGGGGGATGAACATCTTGTTTATGTGAATACAAATTGCTAGTTTCAATCTCTATTTGTTCAACTTTGTGCTTGTTGTAGTTAATTGACAGGATCCTCAATTAGCTGTGCCTATTTAGTGTGCATAACTTGGAAAAGAGTGCATATTTAGGTTCTTGTTGAACAACACCACTCCCAAAGTATAAGAGGAATCTATAATCACGGGTTTAAAGGCGGGATTAGGGATAACGAAGCCTTGGGTGTAATCTAAAGTGAATTGTGCTAAATAAAGTAAGCTAGTGTATCTCGGGAGAGTGCAATTAGTATATTACTGTGATTACTCGGGAGAGATTTACGGTAAGATGAGCGTTCATGATTGATAGAGATGTGTTGGTAAATTTGTATGAGCATAAACAGAAGGGATTCCTTCAATGGGGGAAATCATTGCCTTAGCTTCTTCTCGTCATTGTTTACAACCTTAGCATTTTAGTTTACAGCTGTTTAATTTACAATGCATGTGCACCAATCAAACAATTCATTCTTGATTCCCCTTTTTTCGCTAACTCCCTACTACCCCACACTTTGACTTTTGTATGTTCTTTAGTGATTCAAGCGCTTCTAGGAGGTATTGGTTCAAACAATCAAGCTATTCAAACACAGAGATTTAGGTCATTATAGGGTTATCAAAGAACAGGCTTCAGGCTCAAAGGGGTTAACTATGGCGATATATACAGGTGGATTCACAATTATATAGGGTTGCACAAAGAAATGCCTCAATCAACTCTAAAACCAAACAACTTCTATTTCGCTTTGCAAACACACAGGGCAAGTTCTAGGTATCGCATACAGGCACAGAATGCAAGTAATATCTCCCACACACTTAGCATGCAACTCATTCCGAATCAGCTCATCAACACACTCATACGAGCATTCAAGCAAGACAAGACGTGCAAAATTAAGGCATAGATTTACGAGTCCACAAGCGAGCCTAGACGTCACACTCTCAAGTTCGTTTTAGTTATTTGCCGGTGTGCAAATCAGGGGTTGTATTCTAGCCTTCACCCATCTTAGTCCTAAAACTACAAAAGGAAAATCTACCTAACCCGGTTCAAGAAAAGCCCTTGGAAAAGAACCGTGGTCAAAAGAAAAACCAAGAGGGAAGTACTACACTACCTAGAAGAGAAAAATAAAAAAAAATTCTACATGAACTACTTCCCTCAAGATTACTGTCCAAGTGGTCCGTCCTCAGGAAGAGTCCTCTAACTTGTTTTCAGTTTAAATTAATTCCGACTTTGACCCTCAAGAGACCCGTCAACAAGTGTCCGTCGTTGGGCCAAGTCAGCTACTCCTAATATAAGCACACTCAAATATATACAACACATCAATCTAATGCTACAGCACAAACAGCGTCTATATACATTACAACACACAATCAGAGCAAGTCTCC